AACATTACGTAGTTACAAATGATCCATACCTGCACGATGTTCTTTCCCTGACCAAGCATGGTGGCTGCGTTTAATCTCATTCGATACTTACCAGCTGCCAGATCAGCTGCATGGAGAAGAATATCAGCTCGTTCCCTACAAATCGAGTAACCTAGTCAGACGCGTACCTTATGAATTATGATTGGGAAATTGAACCAATACTAAGCGAAAACTGTGAGCACTTACGTACAGGAACGGCAGCCACTAATTGCCAACTTACTTCAACGGTTTTCTCTCCCATGCTATTCGAGCCTCAAGAGCAACCTCTATTGCTTCGTGAATCTGCCCTGCAGTTGCGTATGAATATTTGGCGATAGAAGTTCGATGGTCAGATGGCTAGAAATCGGCGTCTCAGTGTCACGAAATTTTCATGAGAAAGAAATGAGGATTGAACATATCGATGATTGAAAGCCAAAAAAGGAGGAAAGAAGTACAAGATTTTCATATAACTAGTCATCGAATCGAAAAGAGGTTTTTCTCACGGATCGTAGGAAACGATAGGGCATAGAGCTGTAAGAATGCGCTCCACAATAAAGAAGTTCAATCAACTTTCTTGTTCGCCCATCTCTGCCCCCTTTTCACCCCACTTGCCTTGTGCGGAAGAAATGAGATGAGAATGAGAGGTGTGGTAGACCAATCAAAGATTAACAACTTAATTATGTTTTACATGATGCACTGGCCGCGGAGATGTAGAGGTAATCGGTGCGGCTTAGCATGCGATGGACTGGAGGCCAGACCTCGGAATCGTGCCAGAACAAGCCTCTCATACTTTTGAGGTCGGTCAATTGGTACAGAACTCATCAGGAAGAATAGAAGGAGTGCAACGAACACTCTTGCCACTTCCCGCTCCCCCCTCCCCTCTCCTGTAGCCATTTTATGAACCAACCAAATTCTCTTCATATGCGATCTGGACTCTGAAAGGGAAGCTAAAACGTTACTTTTCAATAAGAGACTGAGCAACGCAAAATGAGGTGTTCATGATTTGTGCTTTTATTCCAATTGACAACCGATAAAAGTACTACG